ATCAGAGACACCGCTCTCTCCTGGTTCTCCTCTTACCTATCCTGATGCTCCTTCAGCGTTTCCTACAACGGTGCCACCTCCCCTTCCCTCCCCCTCTCTGTTGGGGTCCCCCAGGGCTCTGTCCTTGGACCCCTTCTCTTCTCCATCTACACCTCCTCCCTTGGCAAACTCATACACTCCCACGACTTCAACTACCACCTCTACGCTGATGACACTCAAATTTACCTCTCCACCCCTCACCTCACCCCCACATTCTCCACCCGCATCACTCACCTCCTAAACGACATCTCTGACTGGATGTCTCTCCATTTCCTCAAGCTTAACCTCTCCAAAACCGAGCTTCTCGTCTTTCCCCTTCCCCACGCCCCCCCCCCATTCTATCCATCACTACCAACAACACCACCATCAATCCCGCCCCGCAAGCCAATGTCCTTGGCGTCTTTCTGGGTTCAAACTTTTCCTTCCAACCCCATGTCAAATCACTTACACATGCAGGCTCCGCCTTCGCAACATCGCCAAGATACGCTCCTTCCTTACCCCAGACACCACTAAACTACTCGTACACTCCCTGATTATCTCACACCTCGACTACTGCAACTCCCTCCTCACCGGCCTACCCCAGTGCAAGCTCTCCCCGCTCCAGACCATCCTGAACTCAGCGGCCAGACTCATCCACCTCACCAGCCGCTCCACCTCTGCCACCCCCCTCTGCCTATCCCTCCACTGGCTCCCTATTGCCCAACACATCAAATTCAAACTACTCACTCTGACCTACAAAGCTGTTCATAACACTGCCCCTAACTACCTCACCAACCTGATTCCCAGGTACCACCCTACCCTACCCGTACCCTTCGCTCTTCACAGGACCTCCTTCTATCTTGCTCCCTGGTCTCCTCCTCCCACGCACGATTGCAAGACTTCTCCAGGTCCTCCCCCATCCTCTGGAACTCACTACCCCAATCCATCAGACTGTCACCTTCCCTCCTCACCTTCAGGCACTCCCTGAAAACCCACCTCTTCAGGGAAGCCTACTCCACTCTCACCTAACAGCCACTCTCCTTCATTCCTCCTACCACTCCATCCCCCACAGCCACTTCCCCCCCTAGATTGTAAGCTTGAAAGAGTAGGGCCCTCTAACCCCTCGTGTGCTGTTTGTTGTTGCTGTACTGTTTCATGTATTGTCCCCCCCTCTATTGTACAGCGCTGAGCAAACCCTTTGGTGCTATATAAACTCGATGTAATAATAATAATATTATTTTTTTTTTTTTGCTAGTTAGGTTTAGATATACTTTAATAGACAAACCTTCCTCAACTAATGTTGTCATTGCATTACACTAGAGGAAATAATGGGTTAAGTGAACAGGGAGGATCTAATTTTATATGACACCACTGAACTTATGAGAAGCATTTCCAGAAATACTTTCAGATTCCGCTCCTTGTACGGGACAGATCAGCCGCTCCCAGCTTCTCTTCTGTACAGAGTTGTAGCAAAAGTTTATTTTTATCCGCAGAATGGCGACTTCTGGACTGAGAGTTCAGTATATTTGTAGATTCTCTCAGTTTTCTCCTTCTTCTTCTCAGAGGCAACATTCAGAAGGTCCACTTGGTGTCCTCTGTGGTCTCCAGCCACCAGCAGGACATACAGATACAGGCACCCTCCTCTGTGCAGTAATATATTAGGATCTCCTTGTGTGTGGAGCATTTTCTGTCCTCAAATGATTTGGTTGGATCAGTTAATTTGTGATCTGCTGACTTGCTGTGATTACTTAAGTGTTTAGTGCAGAATGATGCCTCACATAGCAGACACGTTTTAATAGCTGGTAGAGGAGAATCACAGTACGTACAGAAGACCTCTGTGTCCTCTAGATCAGTGTTTCTCAACCTTTTTTCAGTCAAGGCACCCTTTAAAATTTTGGACAGTCCCGAGGCACCCTTTAAAATTATGGACAGTCTTGAGGCACCCCATTCTAAAATGAGGTGCCTCAAGCCTGTTCATAATTTTAAAAGGGCACCCCATTCTAAAGTGTAAAAAACTACTCTAACAGCAACATCCACACATGTAGGACACCCAACATTAGAGGTGATTTATTCTTCTAAAGCAAACATACTTTTGCACACTGGTACTGACTAGTATTCCAATGTTTCTCTTTCCCCTCGGTTTTTCTCCATCACTGAGCTAATGTGACCGCAGCACTGACAGAGAGGGGCGGGGGAGGGTCAAACTAGGATGCTGTGCAGGCAGCTGACATCCTCCTTATCAACTGATGATGTCATTGGTTGTCAGGACACCGGCAGCTAGAAGGTCGTAATGGTGCACAATGAAAACCTTTGGCTTTGTGTAACTAAAAGGAAGGCTTGCTCCACCCGCTGGTTTGTATACAAGTTTTGGGCAATTTTTAGACATTTTGCCAAGGCACCCCTGAAGAAACCTCAAGGCACCCCAAGGTGCCTGGGCACCCTGGTTGAGAAAGGCTGGTCTAGATGAGCAGATCTGTAATAATCCACAATGTTACACAACTTCCTTTTCTTCTCCATTGGAGAGCGCTCTGTATATTGCTCTCTGCACTCGGATAGGAATAAATGGTAGACTTCTTCTTCTGTATATCCAGCACAGTCAGTATACAGTCCCGGCAGAAGTTGTGTCCACATTTCAGAGATATGGGCCCCGTATGAAGGTTCAGGCAGATGGGGCAGCTCAGCTTGTCTCTCAGGTTGGATTGCCACCTCATCCCTTTAAAACTGAACACATATTAATTACACGGGTTCTGAGGCCAGTTCTTTGCAGATAAAGCACTTAGGGTTCTTTCACACGGGTGTTCTGTATGTCTGTTTTTCATCTGTCTGTTTACAGATGAAAAACAGCCCCCCATGTATTTCTATGGACTTGCGGGTGTAAATGGATGATCATTTTTTTTTACAGCCATTAATGTCCGCGTCCGTTAACATCTGTGTTTTTTGAAAGGAAGAAACCCCTATTTTTCTTCCGCAAAAAAATCCCGGAATGGATGAAAAAATGGATGTCAGTGGATTGTATGCAGCCCAGCAGGTCAGGAACCATACCAGGCCACATGCCCTCAACACGGGGGGGTGCTTTGGAGCAGGAGACAACCACTAAATAAATAATTTGCGCTAGTAAATGTGTATAAAAAGAAATCATCAAATCATAAGTCCAGAAAAAAAATATATCCAGAAAAAAATATATATATGCCAATACCACAAAAAAAATAAAAAAACTTTTAAGTGCAAAAAACTTTTGTGCAAAAAAAAGTGTCTAAATATGAAAAAAATTTTCACCAAAAAACCTTGATAATATAATGGCAGATCATCCATAAATATATCTTCAGAAACGGAAACTCTGCAACACACCGATCCTCATCGATCGAAATAACAGGATGAAAAACTTTGTAGTTAATCGAAAATCCACTTCTCCAATAGATAAAGGACCACCTTCAAACGTGTCCATGGGGGGAAATGCCAAGCACTCGAGAGAAACAGAAAGACTTCATGGTGCAATATTATAAAAACCAATTCCTTTATTAGGTACTCATTGCACTTACTCAAGAGGTGTCCCAGCCGACACCAGCATCAACAGCATAACAGCAATCACATAAACGAGCCTGGCTACTCAGCACATGCGCAGTAGCTGGCAGCCAAAAACGTAATGACGTCACATCAATCAAGCTCCGCCCTAGGAGACAACCACTGCAGATACCCCCATCAAAACAACTGGAAGCCGTACCTCCTTACAAAGTACTTTTCTTGTGCCCACAGTAACCTACGAGAAACTTGCACCCCGCAGGCTGCCCGTCAGCATCAACCGGCACAACCACCACCAAAACAACCCATGAAACAACGGGTGGGCAGGAGGGAAGTTTTCCTTGTCAAATCTTCCTTCTGACTGAAGCCCCCCTGCCACACCCTGTCAGACCACCCCTTGTGGCTCCACCCGCTCCCTCCTTAAAACCACTTAGAACTCCCCCATCAACTGGGCAGCACAGTGGCTAAGTGGTTAGTACTTCTGCCTGGCAGTACTAGGGTCGCCGGTTCAAATCCCAACCATGGCGCCACCTGCCTGGAGTTTGCATGTTCTGCCTGCATGGGTTTCCTCCGGGGACTCCAGTTTTCTCCCACATTCCAAAGACATGCTGGTAGGTTAATTGGCTCCTGTCTAAATTGTCCCTAGTATGTGTATGTATGAATGTGAGTTAGGGACCTTAGATTGTACGCCCCTTGAGGGCAGGGACTGATGTGAATGTACAATATATATGTAAAGTGCTGCGTAAATTGGCGCTATATAAGTACCTTAAATAAATAATCAATAATAGGACTCTCCTCTCCCAATCCCCTGTCATGTCGGCCCTTCGTTCATGTCTTCTTCTACTCCGGGCCTCCCTTTACTGGGAGGTGGATGTGAGCGGAGCAGAGGAATGGCTCCTGGGGTGGCCGCTACAGCATAGAGAGGAGAAGAGATGGAAATCCTTTATAGGATACAATGACAAATCATGGGGTCTTGCTGTTTGTAGCAACACATAATATTGCTGAGCTCACCAGTGTGTTCTTCTTTCCTCAGAATGTACCAAACTGTTGATTTGGCCTCCTAATGTTGCTGCTATGTCTCTGATGGATTTGTATAGTTTTTGAAGCCATACAATGGCCTGTTTCACTTGCATGGACGGCTCCTTTGAACGCATGATGTAGGTTCACAGCAATGGATTCCAACTGCAAATTCCACACTTAGAATCAACTCCAGACCGTTTACCTGCTTAATTGATGAAGAAATAATGAAGGAGTAGCCCACACCTGGCCATAAAACAGCTTTTGATTCAATTGTCCAATTACTTTTGGTCCCTTGAAAAAGGGGGGATGGCTACTCTTAAGAGCTGTAATTCCTAAACCCTTCCTCCAATTTGGATGCACATACCCTCAAATAAACCTGAGAGTGCGCACTGTCCGCCCATATCAGTTATAGAACTATAGCTTGAATATGTTTTGGTAAATACCTGAAAAAAACTAAACTTGTGCCTGTGTCCATATATACATGGACTTAACTGTAGGTGGCAGCACTGAATAAGGGCCATCTACCAGATCATGGGCGGACTGACAACTCATGGGGCGGACAATAGGGGATCATGGGGCCCCTGTGTCCTCGCCCACACTCAAACCACACCCAAAAAAGCCTATGAAAGGTACCAGGGGCATCTCATGGGGCCCCTTAATGACCCCGGGCACTGTTTTGGAATGGTCAGTCCACCCCTGTACCAGATATATGCATTCAGCCGGCAGGAAAAGGGTTCATTGTGATGATTGGGCGGCTGATCACATGTAAAAGAAATATTTTGATATACAAGACCCATGTATAATCTATAGGTATTTATTCAATGCATAGTGTCTGCTCTTGAAATGTATAAATGTGTCCAATCCATACAAGATCAATGACTTGCTGCTTAGAATGACTTGTCTCTTTGTCCCGCCGGCATACAGATAAATAAAACGGCTGAAAGAATGTAACCTGTGTCTCCTGTATCTTATTCCTTCATTTTGTACGAACCTTCCAAGGGTGCACGAATATATTTCTGAAGACGAACCAGGCCCTTGTACTTAGCACTGGAAATGTCAGCGATCGCTGCGCTCTGTACAGAATATCGCCACAAGAGAAGGAAATCTCTATAGTGCCACTCCTCTCCGCCCCCTCCTATCTCTATAGTGCCACTGCTCTCCGCCCCCTCCTATCTCTATAGTGCCACTGCTCTCCTCCCCCTCCTATCTCTATAGTGCCACTCCACTCTGCCCCCTCCTATCTCTATAGTACCACTGCTCTCCTCCCCCCTCCTATCTCTATAGTGCCACTCCTCTCCGCCCCCTCCTATCTCTATAGTACCACTGCTCTCCTCCCCCACCTATCTCTATAGTGCCACTCCTCTCCGCCCCCTTCTATCTCTATAGTACCACTGCTCTCCTCCCCCTCCTATCTCTATAGTGCTACTCCTCTCCCCCCCCTCCTATCTCTATAGTACCACTGCTCTCCTCCCCCTCCTATCTCTATAGTGCTACTCCTCTCCCCCCCTCCTATCTCTATAGTGCCACTGCTCTCCGCCCCCTCCTATCTCTATAATGCCACTGCTCTCCTCCCCCTCCTATCTCTATAGTGCCACTCCACTCTGCCCCCTCCTATCTCTATAGTACCACTGCTCTCCTCCCCCTCCTATCTCTATAGTGCCACTCCTCTCTGCCCCCTCCTATCTCTATAGTACCACTGCTCTCCTCCCCCTCCTATCTCTATAGTGCCACTCCTCTCCGCCCCCTTCTATCTCTATAGTGCCACTGCTCTCCTCCCCCTCCTATCTCTATAGTGCTACTCCTCTCCCCCCCCTCCTATCTCTATAGTGCCACTGCTCTCCTCCCCCTCCTATCTCTATAGTGCTACTCCTCTCCCCCCCTCCTATCTCTATAGTACCACTGCTCTCCTCCCCCTCCTATCTCTATAGTACCACTGCTCTCCTCCCCCTCCTATCTCTATAGTGCTACTCCTCTCCTCCCCCTCCTATTTCTATAGTGCCACTCCTCTCCTCCCCCTCCTATCTCTATAGTGCCACTCCTCTCCTCCCCCTCCTATCTCTATAGTGCCACTCCTCTCCGCCCCCTCCTATCTCTATAGTGCCACTGCTCTCCTCCCCCTCCTATCTCTATAGTGCTACTCCTTTCCGCCCCCTCCTATCTCTATAGTGCCACTGCTCTCCTCCCCCTCCTATCTCTATAGTGCTACTCCTCTCCGCCCCCTCCTATCTCTATAGTGCCACTGCTCTCCTCCCCCTCCTATCTCTATAGTGCCACTCCTCTCCTCCCACTCCTATCTCTATAGTGCCACTGCTCTCCTCCCCCTCCTATCTCTATAGTGCTACTCCTCTCCTCCCCCTCCTATCTCTATAGTGCTACTCCTCTCCTCCCCCTCCTATCTCTATAGTACCACTGCTCTCCCCCCCCTCCTATCTCTATAGTACCACTGCTCTCCCCCCCCTCCTATCTCTATAGTACCACTGCTCTCCTCCCCCTCCTATCTCTGTAGTACCACTGCTCTCTTCCCCCTCCTATCTCTACAGTGCCACTCCTCTCCTCCCCTTCCCATCTCTATATGGCTGCTCATCTCCTTCCTCTCCTATCTCTATAAAGCCGCTCATCTCCTCCTAGAGCCCGGGTTCACACTGATGTGATGCGGAATACTCATTGGTTTCTCTGCGATTTCTGCACCACATCATAATCGCACCCGATTCATACAAACCGCTGCGGGTCTTGATTCTTTTAGTCAGCAACACCGTGAAATTAGGTGGCAAAACGCAGTGCGTTGTGCAGAATCAGAATGCATAGGTGTGAATACCCACGTGATCCGATTCTGGTGCGGACAAAAAAAAGAGTCCTGCACCTTTTTGGTGCAAATGCTGTGCGATTTATGTCATAAAAAATGTATGGCTGAAATTGCAGCGCACAGAAATCGCATGAGATTTGTACAGGAATGCAGTGCGGTTCCTGTACGAATCACTTGTGATATGCCGCACCGCATCAGTGTGATCCCAGGATCAGTGTATCACAATTTATTTTTCTGCATTAGCTCTACACTCTGTACACATTTATTAGTGCTGAGTATCAATGGATAGTGTTAGCAGCTCTGGAGGTTGTTTATCCCAATCACAGATTTATTGATACATATATGTATGGAGTCTGCCTGGATACTGAGCTTGGGGTCACTGACACCAATGCTGGGGGTTAATATTGCAGTCTTTGACACCAGTACTTGGTGTTACTAGTGTGTTCACTGACACCAACGCTGGGAGTTACTATTACTGCCACTGACACCAACGCTGGGAGTTACTATTACTGCCACTGACACCAACGCTGGGAGTTACTATTACTGCCACTGACACCAACGCTGGGAGTTACTATTACTGCCACTGACACCAACGCTGGGAGTTACTATTGCTGCCACTGACACCAGTGCTGGAAGTTACTATTACTGCCACTGACACCAACGCTGGGAGTTACTATTACTGCCACTGACACCAACGCTGGGAGTTACTATTGCTGCCACTGACACCAATGCTGGAAGTTACTATTGCTGCCACTGACACCAACGCTGGAAGTTACTATTACTGCCACTGACACCAACGCTGGACTTACTATTACTGCCACTGACACCAACGTTGGGAGTTACTATTACTGCCACTGACACCAACGCTGGACTTACTATTACTGCCACTGACACCAACGCTGGGAGTTACTATTACTGCCACTGACACCAACGCTGGGAGTTTCTATTACTGACACCAACGCTTGGAGATTCTATTACTGACACCAACACTTGGAGTTTCTATTATTGACACCAACGCTGGGAGTTTCTAATACTGACACCAACGATGGGAGTTTCTATTACTGACACCAACGATGGGAGTTTCTATTACTGACACCAACGATGGGAGTTTCTATTACTGACACCAACACTTGGAGTTTCTATTACTGCCACTTACACCAATGCTGGGAGTTTCTATTACTGACACCAACGCTGGGAGTTTCTATTACTGACACCAACGCTGGGAGATTCTATTACTGACACCAACGCTGGGAGTTTCTATTCCTTACACCAACTCTGGGAGTTTCTATTACTGCCACTGACACCAATGCTGGGAGTTTCAATTACTGACACCAACACTGGGAGTTTCTATTACTGACACCAATACTGGGAGATTCTATTACTGACACCAACGCTGGGAGTTTCTATTCCTGACACCAACACTTGGGGTTTCTTTTACTGCCACTGACACCAATGCTGGGAGTTACTATTACTACCACTGATACTGCCACGCACAGAAATCACATGTGGTTTGCACAGGAATGCGGTGCGGTTCCTGTGTGAATCACATATGATATGCTTCACCGCACAAGTGTGAACCTGGACTAAGCCCAGGTTCACACTGATGCAGTGCTGAATTTGCAGCATTTTCAGTGCGATTTTTGCACCGCATTAGAATCGCACCCCGTTCATGCGAACCGATGCAGGTGTGTACGTTAAGTTAACATCAACCCAAAAACGGTCCGCAAAACGCGGTGCAATGTGCAGAATCGGATCGTATAGGTGTGAATACCCATGCGATCCGATTCTAGTGAGGACCCAAAAAAGGGTCCTGCACATTTTTGGTATGGATGCGGTGCGATTTGAGCCATCCAAATTTTCTGATTTAGCCCGGGTTCACACGTGTGCGGTGCAGCATATTGCATGTGATTCGCACAGGAACCGCACCCGGGCTAAATCAGAAAATAATTTGTTACACTGAAGGAATCTGTATGAAGTGAAGTGTTCATATATACATTCCAGTGTTGTCCCCGCACATACCAGAAGGAACCAGTTGAGCTGGAATTAAAGAAAAAACAAAAAACAGTGTAGCATTCCTGTGCTAATCACATGCGATTTGTGTGCGATGCGATCGGACGTACATTTTGTATGGCTCAAATCGCACCACACCCACAACAAAATAACGCAGGACCCCTTTTTTGGGTCCACACAAGTTCTATTCCCCAGGGCTGTGGATAAGGGGGTACCACCAGTCCTCCTGTATGGGGTCCAGGTCAGCAGGGGGGCCCAGGTAGCTGAGTGAATCTGATGTGGGTATGGAGGGTGAGCGACACAGTATGGGGGGGGGGGGCAATTACTGAAAGCGATCCCCTGTATGATTCTCTGCAGCAGCTGAAAGTTGGCTTCTTCTCCTCTCCCTCCCGCTGGCTTTCAGCTGCTGCAGAGAGAGCCATACAGGGGATCAGTTCCAGGAATTCCCCCCCCCCCCCCCCCCCCCCCCCCGCTGCAACCATCACCCTCCCTGAGCACCATACATTTCCCCCTGCTGCCCAGGGCCCCTGTGTGCTCCCACCCCCACAGTGCTTCCAGCTTCCCTCCTCTCCTTTCCACCAGCATCTGCAAGCACACAATAGGATCCTTCAGAATGGAAAGTGGTGAAAGGGTCTGGTGAATGTCACATTTACTAGCCCCTTGCTCTCCTGAATGAACACAGTGAGTGATCTGTAGCAATCACTCACTGTGTTCATTTTTATCTGAAGCATAATAAACTGCATGGTTTTTTTTTTTTCTTTGGGGGGGGGGCCCTGTCAGGTTGGCTGTATGAGGCCCCGTGGTTTCTAACAGCCGCCTTGCTATTCCCTATGGAGTGCACGGCAGCCAGGCACACAGCA